CCAAACCCTTTAAGGACTCTCCATGTGGAGCGAGCAGAGGTTTTTGAAGGACTAGCACACAGAGTGCCTTTCCTGCATGCTAATGTATCCGAAGCATGCACTTGTTGACTTGAAAGGAAAGGAGGGCATATACGATAAAGAGGTAAACATGATCAATCCAATAAATGACCTCAGACCAGAGAGCAAGAGCCACTATAGCCAAGTAATCTCAGACAACAAAAACCCAAGTGGTCCCACCGGTACCATCGCTGTCTGACATGTCTGTAATACACGTCTTCCGCTCCACTGCAAGTGTTGAAGATATTAGGGTGGGCACCGAGGGACCTCTGACAACCGCCCCCCTAGCGAAAACAGTCAAGCTGAAGGACTAAATCAATGTGAGAGATGCTGCAGACATATTGAGCAAATGATTTCTGGCTCATGCAGCTTTCATACAAAATCATATGACATATGACAAATGATAATCTCTTGCTTTTAAAGGGCATGCAAAACATGCAGTGTGGTTGGTGTTGAAATAATTGTCGCTCAGAAACTGCTGGTCAGATTGTCAAATATTTAGCAAATGGCAAGTAATAGATTGAATTACAGTAGAAAGACTTATTAATGACAAATCATTTTAACATTCGATTTTAATGTATTCTTGTAAAAACCTAGGTAAAAATTAGCATAAAAACTGTTTTCACTTGGAAATTGGTAGTAAATTTCACAATTAAGGAAATTTGTTTAACACATTGAATTGAATGTAAGCAACAATTAGACTATAAAAGTTTAGCTCCAACCCTGATCAAATACACCTTACCTCACAGTTAAACTGACTTAGTGAATGAAACAGGTTCACAGCAACAGTGTTTCTCTAAGCAAGTTTAAGTCAGCATCCCTGCCAACTCGTTCACCTACTCCTGTAAATTTGGTCAATCCATCTAAAACTACTATTATTTGTGCAGTTTACTCACTCTCCCTAGAGTTTTTCAGTACATTTTTAACTGAAAAAGTCTTAATTTACCCCCTTAGTGAACACCAGTACACCCTCTTTAGGTGTTTTATTATTCAAAATGTTCTCTGTATTTCTCCCTGCAGCACTGAGACTGTGAATGAATATGTGATGTAGGCTCCATATTTCTGTTTTTGGACTGATATTTTATTTCAACTAATTTCTTAAACAAATGTGCTAATTCTTTGTACACTATACTGCCATTAAATATTTCTGCTCTTTGCATTGTATAGTATTTTATTTTCAGTGATTGTGTACTTGCTCCCACATCTACCCCTGCCATTAGTCTGTAGTTTCTTTGTGTGTTGCATATTTCCACCCATGCGCCAAGCATTGGCCGATATTAATCAGTTTTTCTGTTCTGATCTCAAGCTTAGGCAAATAACCGAGAAAGCATCAATCTGAGGCCACATTTTTATGATGCCATCATGTAGACTTCTTACAAAGTATTTTAAAGTGTTTTAAAAATACAAAATACAAGAAACTAAATATTAAGCTAAATATAAATTTAAAAACTAAAATACTAAGCCATTTTCATCAACCCAATAAAATACAAATAACAAAATGCGTATTTGAAATACTTTTATCATAAATACTGCCCATCCCTTATACAGACAGGTATGTATGGTATGGGTTGCAACTGAAATCTGCAGGAAGGTAGATCTTCAGGAACAGGGTAGAGCACCCCTGGATTACATTGAACAGTATAGTCTTAATTGAACTAAATATTCCAGTAATATTTATTGTAATTCAGTGCAAACTAAAAAAATGTTTTTAAGCAATTTAACATGAACTTTTAAAGTAAAACATTGAAATCATGTTTTCTTGTAAAAACATACTCTAACATTTTTTTATTTACAGCTTTGAACATATTTTTACAGATAATATATAGTCTTTTATTTCTAGTAAATTCTCACAAATAATTTGCTTAACAAAATGGTTTAACAAACTGAATGAAACTTATATTTTTTAAGCTAAAGAAGTTTTTTTTTTCTATAGTACTTTACTATAAAAAAATCATATAGCCGGATCTACAGTACAATCACAATAATGAATACAGGTTTTAATGTAAAAAAAGAAAACAAAAACATAGATAAATAGATTGTGATGCTCTAAGAGTTGAACAGTGTGATGGCCAGTGAAAGAAAGCTTCAACAGAACCTGGCGGTTCTGCGTTTAATGCTACAAAACCTCTTCAAGCTAGTGGGAGGAACAGTCATTGTAAAATAAACAATAACGGGATAGTTCACATTGAAACAAAAATGGTGTTAAAAAATCACAAAGAAATGGCAACACAATGCTAATTGTGCCAATTACAAACAGTTCTTTGTTATTTAAATAAATATATATTTAAATTACCTTTAATTATTTGATTGATATAGTTTAAAAACATTTATTCAGAAACTGTTATTACTAAGAAAATAGCTGCAAGCTGCAATCAACAGGCTTTAAGCGCAAATAGGCAAAGATTTCAATTTGACATCAAAATCGATGTTCAAGATTTTCATGGAAGTTTTACTTTATTCACTATGTTACAATAGACAAGTAATTCTATTAATAAATAAAGTGTCTTCATTTAAAGAGCGGTCTTTTTTATTTGAACTCTGGTAACTCTGAACTCTGGTGGCTCAGTGGTTGGCTCTGTTGCCTCACAGCAAGAAGGTTGCTTTCACATGGGTTTCCCCCAAAGTCAAGACATGTGATTTAGGTGAATTGAATAAACTAAAATGGCCGTAGTATATGTGTGTAAATGCAAGTGTGTATGGGTGTTTCGCAGTACTGGGTTGCAGCTGAAAATGCATCTGCTGCATGAAACATGCTGGATAATATGGCAGTTGTGTCCATTTAAACTACAAAAACAGGATTTTATGATAACGCTGACATCATGTCAATGTGTGTTGTGTAAACATAGCTTTAATTTTATCATGCATTTCATAAAAAATTACATTTATTTGAAAATTATATTTTAAAACAGACTGAAAGAGCTTTTTATTTAAAAATGATGTTGTTCAGTTAACATCTGTGTTCACAGAAAGATTGTGATTTGTCTTCTAAGGCCTCTTTATGAGCATGACTGTGCTCTTTTAGCGAAACAGCTCCTCTTCTCTCTGGATATAATGTGCTTCAGCTTGATAAGCCCTAATAAGGGCATGTAATTAGACTCTTTGCATGCAGGCTTGTCTTTGCACAAAGAGCTCCGGCAGGTTCACCACAGCATTTTATTAACTTGACAGTTTAACTTTAAGGGTGAAAAAAAAACAGCATCTCCGAGCACAAGGCTCAAATTAGCCCAACAGCGGTAAACACAATTACCCACTTCTAAACAATACTGACACTAATTAGGCCACCAATGAATTACGTTAAAGTTCATGCTTTATTTCTAACTGCAAAAAAAAGATAGAAAGACCTGACAAATATTTAAAAATCAAGACAATAAAAATTATTATAATATTAATAAATCTGTTTATTTTTTTAAAACCACAAATAAAAAAGAAAAATTATCTGACATGAGAAGACTGCACTAACCTGAGAGTTTTCACCTTTAAAAAGTGATTATATTTGGTAACAAACACATAACATAGTTTTATTCATTCATTCATTTTCTTTATAGCTTAGTCTCTTTATTAATCAGGGGTCGTCACACTTAATGAACCACCAAGTAATCCAGTGTGTATTTTATGCAGGGGGTGCCTTTCCAGCCACAATCCACCACTGGTAAACCCACACACTCTCGCATTCACACACATACTGTACATAAGGACAACTTCATTCATATTGTGCATGTCTTTGCACCGGTGAGGGTAACAGGAGCATCTAGTGTAAACCCATGCCAACACAAGGAGAACATGCAAACAAACATCAAACAGAAATGCCAACTGACCAAGCCGGGACTCTAACCAGCAACCTTCTTGCTTTGGGTTGACAACGCTACCCACTGCGCCATCGTGTCGCATGAATATAATTTATGAAATGATTTAATCTTGTCAATTGTTATTTAGTCATATTTAATTATAACATAATTTAATCTTACTTACATAATTTCTTTTGTTTTAGAAATCTGCTAAAAGTCAAACTTCAACTTGTTTATCTTGTAGATAACTTCCTGGGTATTTCACTCATATATGTTTGTTATAGGTGTGGCATGGTGGTTCAATGGTTAGCACTGTCACCAATGACTGTCACCTCAAAGCAAGAAGGTCACTGGTTCGAGTCTCAGGGCCAGTTGGCATTTCTGTGTGGAGTTTGTATGTTCTTCCTGTGTTCGCATAGGTTTCCTTGTTTAGACTAGAGATTGTCATTTCAACGTAACCTTTTATTTGTTTGCTTTGTTGTTAAGCTACAAAAAAACTAACTGAAATAAAATGGAGAATTGAACTCCACTTTTTTTTCCATAAGTTATGATTAAAAATGTTATACTGTTAGTTATACTGCTAATACTATCCAACATGATATTTTCTATATATTTATGATTATTATGAAATGAATTAGGAAATTACCCATGGCCAGACTATTTTAAAAATTTGGCATAATTGTCTTCACGACTGTCAACAATATTTGGTTTTTAGCCCTTCGTACCAAAAAGTTTGGACACCCCTAATCTAAACTAATCTGTATACATGTCACTGTTTTTTATGCGCTTAAAAAAAACTGTAAGAAAAAAAAAATTGTGTGTGTGTGTGTGTGCTGCTCAAACATTATTATTACACACACACACAAACAAAAATTTGTAGTTTAAAAAAAATATCATTTAACCTGTCATAAAATTTAACTAAAATATGCCACATTGCCAGGCTCTATATGTATATTTCTCTGCTGCACAGTTATTTATGTTGCTGTATTCTGCTGCTACAGGGCTATCATAAATTGTAAATTAATTCATCTGAATCTACATTTTTTGTGTGCTTTATTTCAATGAAACAGTGCATATACATACATTCTGCCATACACTGATCCCAGACCAGACACTCTCCCCTTCTTGTTATTCTTTCAGTCTTTTCCCACAATGCAATAGTCAACAAAGGAGTAGGGAGAGAGGACCGAGCTGTAGCTAACGTGGCTATCGCTAGCATAAAAAAAGGAAGAACGAAGTGGGGCTGTAATAAAATTAAAGGAATGTTTCTCTCACCAAACTGGCAAACGCAGACGAGGAAAACAAAGCCTCGGTTCTTCGCGTGCATGAGATGATGACAGTCCACGAGCACTGCATGTTTATGTAGAGAAGCAGCTCTTGTACGTGTAAAGGAGCTGTTGCTGGATTAGCATAGCAGCTAGCAGTCCATTATTATCAAGCTAATGCTAAATGCAAAGCTCGTCGTTAGATTTACGGACACTTTCGATCCAGATCCATCTATTTGAGGCTATAGAGAAGGGATAAAACTCCGATTAAAGGGGTGAGTGGGCGTAATTTGTTGTATTAATATCAATGTTTACACTGTGTGTGTGTATGACACGATGAAGGTCCCGTAGCATGCTAACGTTAGCTAACTCAGTTCACTTCAGGCCTGTTAAGTTGCTGATATTTGACAGTATTTTCTTTTAAAATTATTTTTTTATTGGGTTGATCTATTAGTTTGAGGTTTTATGTTGCTCAACAGTTGCCATATTAGAAACAATATTATTAAGATAATAAAGGAAAGTGTGTCAGTTTGGCCTGTGTCAGTTCTGCTGTTCTAATTTAAATTAATATTTTTATGACCACTAAAATGCTTTTAAGTAAACGCATTACAATATGATCTCCTATTTGCAGAATTAGGTACATGTAGACTGATTATTTTTATAAGAATTAATCCTTTATAACCACATAGTTAGCCAAGACATGTTAATTTGATCATTGCAAAATTGAGTATCATATGTGCAGCCAGAGATCTATGAAATTGTATGTATGTATAAACTTGAATGTGTAGCTATATCTACACAAAGTATCATAGGTTTTAGATGTTAACTTTGTTTGTTTTTCAACTAACAGCCTACCCTTGATATTGAATGGTCTTCAAAATGTACAAATTCAGTGAATACTGACAATAACAAATTATAATAATACATATAATTTATAAAAATAAACAATAAACATGATTGATGAGTAATAAATGAGTAAATGTTATTTGTTAAATTAACAGCGGTTGGATACAAAATCTTAAAAAAAAAACAATTTGAGTTGATTATTAATCACTTATTAAATTTTTAGCCCACATTAATTTTACTTAGTAAGAGAGAAACTAGATGTATAGCAAAGTCATCTCATAATAAAAAAGTTAAAATTGATAGAAATTGTTTTAGCTCTAGAACTACCAGAATTCTGTAATTAGTGGAATGCCCAAAGCAGTCATTCTGAATTTTAATTCTCTACTTTTCTGAATATAAAATTTTTTAAGGTCATATTTATTTTGTAAGCTTCTGTTGAGGTTTCATGCCTGTTTCACACCGCATGCGCAAACAGAGCATAAGCAGTGCATGTGCATTGCCTATGGCGAGCAGAAGCTCATCGGCAGCTGCTGCACGGATCAATTCTATCTAGTTACCTGTCTATCTATAAATAAATACACTTTTTAAAAACTTTTTATCTGCACCAAGGCCCACAGCAACTTCCTTCTATGTTGTTTCCTTAACCTGCTAGTCTTTATTTTACAAATGATATAGATCCTTAAGAACTGTCTGCTTCTCAAGTTCTATGAGGAGTGTCATTCATGTCTTTTCAGGTGATCTCGGTCAGAAGACAATCACCTCTGATATCATGTCATTTTGTTTTCAATTGTTAGGATGTTGTAGGCCTATAGTTATAATAATATTTATACATTATAGTTATAATGATATTTGTACATGATCAAACTAGTGCGCAACTTAATAAGAAAAACTAATACTAAAATTGTTTCAAATTTGTTTGTTTTTTTAGAGTTTGGGCCCAAATAAATATTTGTTGACGTTTTTATTCGTTTAACCTTGTTTGATTGACAATTTAAAAATTAGTGGATATTATCGAGGAATTTATTGGGCAAAATTGCTACTTTTTACTGTCAATTAATGTGTTTTTGGTCATTATCAATGCACTGTCACTTTAATCGAGCGTGAGCAACGTGGCAAAAATAGACCCTGCAACGAAACTATTGCGGCACTGTTGCTTCAGCGAGGCTAATGCCTCGCGCTGATGGGCTGCTTCTGCCTGCAGTATGAAAGCTGTAATCTGTTAATATGGACGCTGAAAAATACACAAGCGCTCTGCTCAAGCTTGTGGTGTGAAACAGGTTTTAGAATAAAACTTTGAATATCTGTCTTTGTATTTTAGGATATAAGGACTGTGTCTAGGCCACAATTTGACCATTATGACAAAAATGAACACAAACTGTAAATATACTGTGTTGTAAAGTTACAGGAAAGTACATTTGTATCCATTTTGACTTATTTTGTAAATGTGACCACTATATTAGTATTACAAACAATTTGAAAAGACATGATACATAAAAAGCATTGAAAACGCTTCTCGTTTACCGCTAGTTCACTTATTCACAATTCATTTTATCTCACTTTTTTTGCAGATGACGGTCACATGATTGACGTTTCTCAGTCACATGGCCGGACTCTGCGGTTAGCATCCATCGGTCAGAAGATAGGACCGTCCGATCCCCTCACCTGAGTGGGTGTACAAGGATGAAGAAGATCAGTCTGAAGACGATCAGAAAATCACTTAACATAAAGGGCAAAGAAGATGGGGATTTTGTCATGCTCCAGCAGCCAACTATAGCAGCAGAGTTCACCAAGGACGACACGCTGTTTGGAGGTTGTTACACCAAAGGGCTGGTAGGTTGTGATCTTAATGGGGAGGATGAGAAGGGTCATAAGAGTCGATCGAAAAGCGAGAGTCTTATGGGCACTCTAAAGAGAAGACTCTCAACCAAACAGAAAGCGAAAGTCAAAGGTGGCTCCTCCGCAGTGGGCTCTGGAGACGACGACGACACATTCTCTTCTTCGTCCGTTCCAATAAGCTTTAATGAAGTCAAAGCCCAGCGACCCTTAAGATCCTCCTCCCTCCGAAGCCATCATTACAGCCCTTCGCCATGGCCTTTCCGTCCCGTTGGCTCAGAGGAGGCTTGCATTAAAATGGAGGTGAAAGTTAAAGCTATGGTCCACTCTCCTAACCCCAGTCCCTCCCTCAATGGCATCAGAAAGGAGTTCCATGACATCCAATTAGAAGGTTTGTTCCAAGATCAGAGCGAAACTCAAAGTGGCAACTTGCATTTGAGCATTGAGGATCACGTGCCTATTGGACTCACACCTCAGGACTACATCCAGTACACAATGCCTTTAGATGAGGGAATGTACCCAGATTCTGCCCAGTCCTTTTGTTTAGATGGGCCTTCGCCAATGGAAGTGGGTGATCAGGTTGAATCTGACTCTCTGCACATAGACCAGGGTCCGGATGGTCATGATATCATAACATCGGACATTCTCATGGAGCATTCGGTAAACGGACACCTCGCCGATGCTCCGGCAATGGTCCTTTCCAATTCCCGAGCCGACACACCTTTGTTTTCTCCATCTCTGTCACCTCTTTCCACCAACGATATTCCAAGGACCCTCTCCGGGTTCAGTAGTGCAGACTCTCATGTTGTTGAGAGAGTAAGGCATCACTTGAACTTTGACCCCAATTCCGCTCCTGGTGTTAGCAGGGTGTACGATTCTTTCCAAAGCAGCGGACCCATGGTTGTAACAAGCCTTACGGAGGAACTTAAAAAACTGGCCAAGCAGGGTTGGTACTGGGGACCTATAACTCGATGGGAGGCTGAGGAGAAGCTAGTCAACCTTCCAGACGGCTCTTTTTTAGTGAGGGACAGTTCAGATGACCGCTATCTCCTCAGCCTGAGCTTTCGGTCACAGGGGAAGACGCTTCACACCAGGATCGAGCACTCCAATGGCAGATTTAGCTTTTATGAGCAGCCAGACGTAGAAGGTCACACTTCCATTGTAGATCTTATCGAGCATTCGATAAAAGACTCAGAGAACGGCGCATTCTGTTACTCCAGATCCCGTCTGCCGGGGTCCGCCACGTACCCAGTTCGGTTGACCAATCCCGTCTCTCGGTTCATGCAAGTGCGTTCGCTGCAATATCTTTGCCGCTTTGTCATCCGACAGTACACGCGGATAGATCTGATTCAGAAACTGCCTTTGCCAAACAAAATGAAAGATTATTTGCAGGAGAAGCACTACTGAACGGGCTGTAGTGGGTCATGGTAGAAATTTGCACTTTTTGTTGAGTGACGCATTGTTTAAACAGTTTACATGTTTGTAGGTCATGAGATCAGTTGCGCAGGTTGACTATCTGATCTGAGCGCTAAATTTGTTGTTGCTCAGATTACGTGTTTTACACTAAGCAAGGCTTTTCAGAGTGATTTGGATGCCATGCTTAATACACATACTGATTATATGAGTATATACTGCAGTAAAGCTTGGATTTGTGATTACATGGTGCACTAATGTGCGTCATTTATCGAGAATTTTGTTGTAGCGTTAAGGTGCGGTCACATTGGCAACATTTTGTCCATTTTTTTTTTTTTTTAATTTTAAAGGTGCATTGTCTATTGTAAATGAGTATAATGATATGTGAAGCACAGCTAACTTTCAAAGCAAGCAGCTTTCTGTTGGTCAACATAGAAAAAAATATTTTGTGAAACATATGTGGGAAATTAGTTTTAAATCTTGTAGATTGCTATTGAAAACTACATTTTTCTGAACAATTGGAATGTGATCGCACCTTTACAAGTAATTTGCTTTTCTCTGGAAATATGATGTCAGCCAAGTTTTTAGCAGGTTTTAGAAGTTCTAAAAATCGGTACTTTTAATGAAGCTTGCAACTATGCTGGATGATGGAGGTTTATCAAATCAACTGTCAGAATACTTTTGTAAGAGAATAAGCATTTATTTTGGATTAATGTTTTACATTTTATTTGACTTTTTTTTTTTACGATCTGTGCAACAACAAATTCGGTCAGTCAGGTATGTGAAGGCCACAAAGGAAGGACTGAATAATTTTCAAAGCAAATGTTCAAGAGGGATACATGAAGAATGCCACATCTGTGATCTTATACGTAAAGGGAGCGGGTTAAGAACAAAACAGGATTAATTTTTTTATATATATGTTGAATAGTGTGGCTCATACAATATTTAGTTCTGTCTAAATATTTTGGCTCATATACATTAAGAAATGCTTTATTATGCTTCATGAGCATCTTATTCGTTTTGTTTAAAGGGGCTATATATAGGATTCTAAAGGTATTGTGATGCTAGTTGCTGTTAAGTGAATTGCAGCCATCAACATTTTGCTTCGCACTAAAGTGTATGTGCTCACGTAACGGATAAGAGGCTAGACATGGGACCATAACCATTTTCAAGGTATACGGCGGTTTGGAAAAGTCAAGGTTTTAAAGCCTGCAAAATTTTCTGCTATACCGTTCCTATGGTTTAAGTAAGGTTTTTTCAACGTTTTGTTTGAAGTTTTTTAGGACAACTGTATCTAAAGTAGAAAAGATATCCAAAGATGCCGTTTTAAATTATAATGAAATCAGTGTTTTTGAAACTAATGAAGATAGCAGAAGTCAATGATTTATTTGAATGATTTAGCCTCAAAATCAAATATATGGTTTTTAAAGGGGAAAAAAGTTTTTTGTTATGTTTAAAAACAAATTTAGAGTAGTAATCACAATACTGTAAAACCGTGATATTTTGCTCCAAGGTTATCATACCATCAGAATCGCATACCGGTCCATGCCTATAAGAGACTAATAATACCATAATTCAATGTAGTTGGAAATACCTTTGCAGCAATATATTGAAAGTAAACATCCAGATGCCGTCCACTGCCACGAGTGTCACCTCTAAATGTGAAAAAAGTTGGACACCCTATTCTATAGTAGCAAAATAGCTGACAGCTGTTAAGAATCACTTCTAAGGTTTGTATTTATTTTGTAAACTACCGACATCTTATTTTTTTAAAATACCAATTTCCATTTAGAAAATAATGAATAGTTCTCCCAGTGTTTATGTGGATTTCCTTTGGGTGCTCCGGTTTTCCCCGCAGTCCAAGGACATGCGGTGTAGGTTAATTGGATGAAGTGGATTGACCATAATGTATGATTGTGAATACGAGAGTATATGTGTGTTTCCCAGTACTGGGTTGCTGCTGGAAGGGCATCCACTGCGTAAAACGTATGCTTGATAAGTTGACGTATCATTCTACTGCGGTGACGATGTAATAATGGACTAAGCGGAAGGAAAATGAATGAATAATGATGAGTAAATAAACTGGACATGTATATTAGTCATAATAAAGAGAAAGCCCATGCAGAATCATTACTTTTTTATTTTGATGTGGACAATTTTGTTCTTCAGAGAGTTCATGATATTTGAACTTGTATTGTATATCCAAATTTACGGCAACATATTCAATTTCTTTTGAATTTTAAATGTGTCAGAAAATTAGAAATTAGTTATGTGGAACATTCAGGCATTAAAGCTTAAGGACTGTACATTTATAACCAATTGGCCATCTTTTTCAATGTTTTTCTGACTTGTAAAATAGGGAATAAAAAAGTCATGGAGACCAACAGTATTTTTTTTAATTGGAAATATTATTCTTATAAATTCTATTGTGATAGTGTTCTCTATCTGCATATATATTCCCTCAATAAATATGGCTTAAAGAAATATGTTCAGTTGGCGTTCTCCATGCAGTTTGTTTCATGTCACATTGTCAGTAGTTTAGAAAATGAAATGATTGTTATATATATAATGATACTCAAAAAAAGGCCTTGTATGGGCAAATCAAGAGAATTAATCACAAATTTGAAATATCTAGATTTCTCCAGAGCTTTAGAGTTTAGACCGTTTCAAACATTGTGAATCTGTTGTTTGGATTAATGCCTTTTCTTTGCACAACTCATAACAGTACGGTTAGAATGGATATTTCAGCATTATTTCGAGCATTATAAGCATTTATTTTACATTCCATAGAATATAGAAGAGAAGCTTTCAGAAACGCATATTAACATCACATCTCTTTTGTGTAAAAAAAATCTGGAAAATATTCAAACAATTCTCTACATATAGCCCCTTTAAACACCATTTTAAGAATTCCATACTCCAGTGCTGGATTGATTGCCGTCAGTTATGGTTGTTCATAGATGCTTCGGTTAAGAGAGGAAAAATAATGCCAGGATTCGTTTGTGCCACCCTGCCTAAAACTAAAAGCACACTTTTATAAAGACATGTCACCTTAAATGGCTTGTTTATACTTGAACTGCAAGCAAACGTTCAACAAATCTGCAAATATCCTGAAGGAATTATGCATTCATAAGTTCCTCAGTGTATATTGGGAGATTTTTTTCTCCTTGCAGAATGACAGCAGGCTTTCCTAACCCTCTGCCCTCCATAATAGCAGCATGTCAGCCTGTCAATATTTCATAAACTCTGCTTCAAGCCAAAAATGTTGCATTCAGACATTTGAGAATTACTATACACCGTTTCTTCCCTACATCATCTTTCCAGTCTCATGAAAGGGAATTATTGGTTGTTGTTTTTTTAACTTTCATAGGGCTTCAGATAGGAAAAAATTCCGTCAGTCATTAGAAGCTAATTGTTGCAAGAGTTTTCACGTTACGTAATTGATGCTGGGATAAATATGACATGGTTTTGCATGCACGCTGCCCTCATATGACTAGGCTTGGACTACATTGGGATAATCAGGGGAGCTTATAAATGTCTCTTTAGCTGGCATATTGAATGTGTGTGAATCAGAGCCAGAACTTTCTATTTGCAGTTTTCACACCACACATGGTTGAAGGCTTTTAAAGGCCCGTTTAAAAAAGTGCCAACTGGCGTTCACAGAAAAACCGGTGAACAATAAGTATTCGTGAGACACCTTGGGGAGACTTTGAAGGTTAGCTGTCAAATAAACACAGTTTGCCATCTTTAATATTCATTAGTGAAAACATAACCCATGGAGTTCGGTGAAATATGTGTTTGTTTTACGTAATGCGTACGAGGGAACCGCATTGGGATGTTAGGAAATTGTTCTTTAAAGGGATTGTTCAGCTAAAAGTGACAATTTACTCGCCATTTATTAAACTTCAAGTTGTTTCAAACCTCAATGAGTTTTTTAAATCAATTTTAAAGAATGTTGGAAACCTGTTTTAAAAAGCAGTTGACCTCCATAAAGGCCAATTTATAGTGTGTTGAAGTGCGAGTTTGAGCTACTTCTACTGTAGTATTGCAGGTATTTCTGGCGTAAACTCAAACACCTGCAAAGAAACAACACAGTAGTACATAGAAACTCATTGCCTACTAGAATTTCAGCAGTATTTTTGCTAGAGCAGCACAGACAGAACACATAAATATAAATGCTCACAATGGTGTTCGCTACGTGGAAGATATGCGCTGTGGGGTAAACTGATTATCAATGCAATAAGTGTTTATTAGGCTTAAAAAGAAAAAAAAAAATTATTTTCATCATATATATATATATATATATATATATATATATATATATATAAATTTTTTTTTTCACATATAATAATGAATGATTTTTAAAAGGAGGCGTGTCCTCAAACCCAACCCCTAAACCCAACCATTATTGGAAAAATCGTACACATTCGTACAATTAGCCACTAAATACAAACATTATGAACTGCAATGAGATTGTATTGATTGAATAGAAGAAAGAAACTCAAGTTTGGAACAAGTGAAGTTGAGTAAATGATCACAGAATTTTCAATTTTGGGAACTATCCCTTTACTACACCTTCAAAGCTTATTTTGAATGCTGTATCTATGTATGTTTTTGGAAGCTAATTTAATTTGCTGTGATTTGAATGGGTTGCCATTAAATGAAGGCTTTTTTTTTCTCTCAGATGTTAAAATCACATAAAGTCTGTGTGTTTGAGAGCGTGAGCAACAAAAAGAGGAATGTCTTAGGCAAGGCACAAGGTGCATTTACCAGAATGAAAGTCGACTAATGCAAAAAATAAATGTGAACTGAAGTGTTTGAGCGCAATGTACATTGAATTTATTTAGTTTTTGCCCAGATGTGTGGCGTAATGAGATGAGGCACATTGAAAATGTTTAGTGTGTGTGTGTGAGCATGTGTTTAAAAAGAAAGGAGGAAACAAAATTGTTCTGGGACTCCATCATGTTCAATATCATTTCCATGACCTTGTCTGTTTGTCGTTAGATGTGGCTTGTTGGGATTGCTGAAGTATTTTGAACCGATGACAGCTGAGCACTTAACAAGCTTCATTGAAATATCTATTTTTCTGATCCATGTTCTTTTGTCCTTGTGCTGCGAAGGAAGGTGAATGTTTACATGACG